CTCGGTTCACATTAACATTTCTGTTTACATTTCTTTAAAGAAGGATTATTACCTACTGCCAAATAGCAAGACGGAACCCAAATAAAGTTAACTATTGAATAGTGCTTACGAAAATTACAGAAAAATATCTTCCCAAGACGATATAGTCAAAATATAAGCTACCGTCATAATTTTTTTGGCGGGAATGGTCGATTTACTACACCATCACGTTACAAACAAAAAACTGTGGAAAAACTTATATCTTCATGAAGAAAAATAAATTAGAAATATAAAAGCATGGTATAAAAAATATAAAGTAAAGATGTAAATTCTGCAGTAAACGCCCGTTAACTACTGATTAAACGGACACAGAGTAAACGCGCGTAAACTCTACTCGAGAAGACATGAGAAATATTTTTTTTTTTAAAACGCGTTAACGTAATTTTAGTAGACGTGCGTTTACTAGTAAACGCGAAAATTGGAGTTAACAAATGAAATATGTGCACGCGGCGTTAACGTGCGTTTACTTTATGTTATGCTTGGTCTGCACCCAACTGTACAAATATACATAATGTTTGTAAGGTTCTTATCATTCATACCAAGTCAGTGTATTTATTACATTTTGAGCGGAGAAAACAATTGTGCATACTTCCGTCTGCGCAAAAAAAAAATAACATCTTTACCTCCGTTTGCGGTGATCAGATTTTATAATATATAGGAGGTAATCAAAAGATGAGATGACTGAAGCTGTTAATTTTCTCCTTGATAACATTTATGACCGATACAGCAATAAAGTGTATCGACAGGTTGTAGGTATTCCTATTGTGACTCTTTAATAGCAGACTTGTTCTTGTGCTGTTATGAAACACAGTTTATGACCAAACTCAGAAAAGGCCCGTCTAAATTGCATTTAATTATAATAAATAAATAAATTAAATTCTTTATTTAACGAAGGTAACACATTTAGCAATGCCATGTTAATCTTCCATGAGGCCTTCAAAAACTATTAATACAAATAGAAAAGACAAAAATACAAACAAAATAAAATACATAATACAGTTATATATAGCAGCTTAAATATAAGTACATATGCATACATTAGAATCTGGCATCTTCATTCTGTACAGTTAGAAAATAGTTTGAACATTTGATCTTAAATGTATCTAAATTATTTATTTCTTTAATATTATTTGGTAAATTATTCCAGGTAATTAGACCAGAATATTTAAATGTTCTTTTTAAAAATTCAGAATTAGGTCTTGGTACATGAAGAAGTCTTGATGTTGTCGACCTGAGACAATAATTATAAAGATCAGTACAAGCAGAAAATTTAATAGATAGATAATCAGGTGCTAGACCATTCATACATTTAAACATTAACACAGCTTGCAAATATTGTATCCTCGTAATTATAGTCATCCATGCAAGCTTTTTAAACATTAATGTTGATGGCAAATCAAAAGAAACAGATAAAACTAATCTTGCAGCACGTTTTTGGAGCTTATGTAACTATCCTCTCCAGATTACAGTTTGTGGTAAGACCCCATACTGTACAATAGTAGTCAATAATAGGTAATATATAGCTATTGTAAAAAAGAATAAGACCCTTTGACGGTAAATAACGTTTCAACTTTTTTAACAGGTATATTCTGGTTGAAATAGTTTAGCATATTTTATCAATTTGATTTGACCATGATAGATTTTTATCAATATGAATTCCAAGAAGTTTTTTAACTTCAACATTATCTAAAGTGATATTATCTTGTGATAAAACACATAAACATTCATTGCAGCTTTCCAGTTTTCTGTCTGATCCAACAAGCATACATTTTGATTTCTTGCTATTTATCATCATATCATTTTCTTTACACCATTTAATAACATTGTCTAAGTCTTAATTCAAACATATATTTAAATTTACAATAGATTCAGATGACAAATGCAAAGTGTATCATCAGCATTTAGATCAGATTCAGTATATTCTAAGGTTAATGGAAATCATTGATATAAGTAAGGACCAATAAAGGTCCAGGAACTCCAAAAGTTACAGATTCTGATTCAGTGGTTCCTAACTTAACTTTTTGCATTCTCTGAGAGAGGTATGATGAAAACCATTCTACAGAGTGGTCATCACATTTGTATAATTGTAGTTTTGATAAAAGTATATTGTGATTTACTGTATCAAATGCCTTCTTAAAATCTAAAAAAAAGAATAGCGGTAAAATTTCCATTGTCCAATTCCTGTAACCATATATCAATTATTTCAATGAGTGCTGTATGACAAGAATGTTTTTCTCTAAATCCAGACTGCTGTTGTATTAATAATTTGTGTGTGGTTAAGAATAAATATAGTTGTTTAAAGACAGTTTTTTTTCAAATAACTTGGAGTTGTATTAATAATGTGTGTGTGGTTAAGAATAAATATAGTTGTTTAAAGACAGTTTTTTTCAAATAACTTGGACACAGTGGGTAAAATTGAAATGGGTCGATAATTGTTTGGATCTGTTTTATCCCCTCCTTTAAATATGGGAGCAACTTTAGCAAATTTTAATATATGAGGAAATATTCATGTACATAAACTAAGGTTTATTGTGAGCAAGGGGGCTTGCTACCATCGATCTTGATAATTTTAAAATTCTTGACCCAACTCCATCAGTTCCGGTTGATTTAGTTATGTCTAGATTTTTTAGAGCTTGTAGAACCTCATCATTTGTGACAGTATAATATGAAAATTTAGCATCATCATTCATTTTTGATTTGACATAGTTATTAATTTTCTCAGATAAAACATCAATTGATAATTGATAAATTCAACAACACTTACTATTATTTTGATGATATTTTTTCGTTAAATATTCAAGAATTTTCTAAATATACTGCCAAAATTTACACAAAAAGAACTTATTTAAATAAATCAAACATAAACGATAATAACTGTCTTTTCCTAGATTTAGATATTTCAGATTACACGGGAAGCTCTACACTAAAATTTACGACAAAAGGGACGATTTTTTGTTCCCTACTGCAATTTTCCTTTTTTGGACGTTGATGTTCCTTTGGCACCTTGTTTATGTATCGCAACTCGTTCGCTGTGCCCGTGTCTGTAGTGGCGTTTTGGATTTCAATTACTGTTCAATTATTCAGTCATGGATTAAAAATAAAACTTAACTAAATGCTTCCATAGATACAAAGATTTGGTTTGGAAGTTTGGCTGTACCTGTAGAAAACTTATTCCAAACGGAAAAGCAAATCCTATTTTTACGGCGATGTTTTTACCGAGCCCGGAAACTTACATGAGATCCAGGTAAACTGATCGGTCCTTCTAAAAGGTTACCAATTCAACACTGTAGATCTTTGAATATTAATTGTTATTGGTATAAATATTGATTTTGTTATCAGTAAATTAAAATCAAACTCAACAATATATACAAATGCACATATCGATACCTGTATCTTTGAATTGCACAAGGTCATGTTTTCTTTTACTATTAATGACGTCTTTACACTAAATCCGTTGGATGTTGGATGAGCACTGAGTGACATTTTAGTCTTAGATGCATGATTTTTTTATTAGTTGTTATTGAGTTTGAACTAGCTGTCCGTAACTGCGAGTACTCTCAGAACTGTACTTAGTGTCTTTTTTGTTGTGGGGATGTATACTAAATACCCTGCCAGATCCGGTCTGTGTTTTTTTTTTTGTTAGCTGTTTTTCTGCTTTGTATCGATATGATGAGTTAAGCCCTTTTCAACTGATCTTTACAGTGTATTCTTATGTTGTACTGTTACACAACTGTCTTTGGTTATATAGTGGTAGGGTTTTGGCGCCAACAAAATAGTTTTACCCCGCCACATTCTGTGTGTGGCTGTCCCAAGTCAGAAGCCTGTAATTCAGTTGTTGTCGTTTTTTTGCTGTATATCATATTTGTTTTTCGTTCATTGTTTTGTACATAAATAAGGCGGTTCGTTTTTTTTTAAATTGTTTTACATTTGTCATTTCGGGGCCTTTTATAGCTTAATATGCAGATCGGTTTTGCTCATGTTGAAGGCCGTAGGGTGACCTATAATTGTTAACATCTATGTCATTTGGTCTCTGGTGGAGACAATCATACCACATCTTCTAATTTTTAAACATAGAAGTTTTTAAAACAAATATTTTAGAGACCAATAAGCATTAAAAATATGTTCAACGTTAAACACTGATACTTGCCGTTTTAGTTTTTGAGGCGACGACAAACACCAATAGTGCAAATCGCACGACCAATTGCACATTTCGATGATTGGTCGTACCTATTCATCACTCTGATCTACCAGAATACACCCGCGACATTGCGGGTCCGTCACTGAATTAAAGTACCTATGCCTTATTTTTAGCCTGGATTTTTAGTATTCGTATTGTCATCTGATAAAGTCATGCTGATTGTAAGGTGCACAGTTTTCTCTCCATGCTTTCAAAATATTTCTGTTTAAACCCGTCCTGCCGGGTTTTCTTACTACAATAAACTTACTACAAACTAAATTTAAATGTTTAACTAATTAACCAAAATTAATAGTGGTACTGAGGTGGAAGAAAACAGACTTTTAAATAGTGTACTATAGTGTAACATAGATATAAAACAACAACAGGAAGAATTCCAGGTTTTCCTGATAGAGGAGGCATTTACAGACGGTAACATTATCCCTGTGCAAGTACAACCGGAAAATACAGGTGACATATATACTATTGGTGTCGGTATCGGATTTGACACGGAACTTGTTAATTATTGGTAATATTAATTATGTGGAAAACAAAAGGGCCTTGAATGATGTAATTTTTAAACAATACCATTGTCCTATAGTAGTAATATATAAAGTTGAATTCTTTGGTTCGTCGTTTTTACGTCATGCCGGCTAACAAATTGGACCTTGTTATTTAAGAAGTATAGAGAAATAAACGACCTATAGTAACACTTGACGAAGGTTGCCTTATATTTATAATAGAGATTTAATAATAATGATAATAATGATAATAACTATATACTTACTGAACAGAGGTCTAATTACTCCTCACGTTTTCATAATATTATTTCAAATGAATTTTAGCTTCAATTTAGTTATGAATCTTTGGCAATGTAAATAATTTGTTTCTAATCTGCGTAATTTCCCACAGGAAATATTATGTTATAACTACTAACAATGGGTGTCAAAGAAGTGGGTCTCTACTTCCTTGTAGTTTATTTTAAGTCTCCCAAAAATCTATTTACGACGTTTCAACATTTTAGGTTTAAATTACTTATTCAATCATGTGTACAATCTCGTCATACAATTTCACATCTTATATAGATCTTATAAATTTCGTGGTTGCCATTTCTAATGAATTGACTGGTACATTTATAAATGTTCTCCGTCAAGCCACGAAAAGTCAAATCGGTGTTATCTATGGAGTAGAGATATTTTCCATATCATGTTTTTTTTACATGGACCAAATTACTGAACAACTTATTTTTCATGAAATTTTACTTTACTATATAGTAGGTCTACACATACTCGGGTACAGCCAATAAATCATTAAAAAATTGTACACATGTGTACACTGTGTAACCAAATTACTGAAAAACTAGTGAAAAATGATTCTTCCATATTAACAACTAATGGAACTTTAATACGAAAATGATCTTTGTAGCGTAGTTATATAGATACCAGCACTGCATCAAGTATGTCACGATATTTCTCCACTTAAGACAGTTTAATTTTAAAATTAAAAATGCGAGGCTTGCCGAACTTAAAGTCTTTTTAAATATATATGATTTAACTGTTGAGAGTAGAGAAATATCGAAATACACGAGATAAGGTGATGGAACCTGTTTCTCTAATGATTTTTAGACGATATCTAAAAAAAAATTTCTCTAGAGATGAGAATTATTCATGTTATTTTTGTCACACCGATCGGGAAATATGAAAATAACATGAAAATAAGAGAAAGTGTTATTAAGGATTACTAAGTATTCTATTTATGGGAGGATGATGCAAATTGTTTTTACGTACCGGCGAACTTATACTATAATAACATTTTATCATATCACTTTTTGTAATCCCTTCTTATTTATTTTTACATTCGGTGTAAAAACAAAATTATGAAATACGGCCTTGTTAAACTTGATGTCTCCTTCATGCTATTCAAACGCAAATTCCTTTAAAATTACTAAATTTAGAACCTTTGGTATTCCCTGATGCCTGTCTTGTGCAATCACAATATATGTCGAAATATATGTCAGTCGACCGGTATGCGTTCTGGTACGCATTCTACTTGTGTTTATAATATGTTTATGTGCTATAAAACAATGTAGAGCGCATATATCGGTCGACTGGTATATATTTCCGGCCCAAAACATCTATGATACGAGTCTCTGTGGTGCACTATGGTCTCATAGTTTCGAGCTGTATCTTTACTGGACGTCAATTTAAATACAGCTGAAGAGTCATGTCTTCTCTTTTCCGTTTTCTCAGTCATATATATAATAACACATAGTATGTAGCATGTTATAACTGAGATGAAATCCAGCAGTTTGTTACTTTTAAAAACATGTTTCCGACTGATTATTTAAATAGTCTATTATGTCTAATGCTGAACGAAACAGAGACATTTAAAATTTCATTCAACTGAAAATAGTCAAGTTACTCGTTTTTGCGGAAACAACTTTCTATAAATCGGTGTCAGTACTTACTAAATGTTACCTGAATGGAATGCGTTCGGTGACCAATAGTACTTTTTTTTTAAATGATATTCTTCAAATCTTCGGTATATTCGTGTCCTGGCAATACTTACCAGCAGATGAGTCCTGGTGTTACTTTCTCATCAGTAGATTACTTAGAATTAGTATTACTATTTATTACTACCTGTTACGAGTGAGATTTCGCTAAAATAAGTAGTTGTATGAACAACCTCCAATCGTGTCAAATAAATTGCGTAAACCAAACAGGACAAATCGTTTTTCGAAAGTTAATATATTAACATATATTAGAACAAACCATATTAACTATATGTGAAATTAAAAATTACATGTTAAGTTTTATTTTCTTCTTCTTCATGTAAGCACTTTTGGAAATCGTTATCGTCTTGTGGTATTCAGTAAAGATACATAAAATGTGCTGCTCTCAATCTAATTTCAAAATTTTTGTAGTAACTCAATACCGTTTTCTGCATACAAGTATAAAAAGGGAAGGTCTTACAGGACGATGAATCTATATGAATTCCTTAGTGCAAACTAAAATGCAGGCAACATGAGTTTTACTGTGCATGCGTATTGCTGTGTGTTTATATAAAAACAGAAGAAGTGAAATGATTGCCAATGAGACATCTCTTCACAAGAGACCAAATGACACAGAAATTAACAACTATAGGTTACCGTACGGCCTTCAACAATGAGAAAAGCCCATAACGCATAGTCAGCTATAAAAGGCTCCGAAATGACAAATGTAAAACAATTCAACCGAGAAAACTAACGGCCTAATTAATGAACGAAAAACAAATATGTTACACAGCAACAAACGACAACCACTAAATTACAGGCTCCTGACTTGGAACAGGCACACACAGAGATGGCGCCAAATCCCCCCCCCCTCTCCAACCTGGGACAGTGGTGTAACAGTAAAACATAAGAACATACTATAAAAATCAGTTGAAAAAGGCTTAACTCATCAGATGGAAACAAAAAGAAATACATCTAACAAAAACACAGAGTGGACGTGGACGGGTACTTATACATTCCCACAACAAAAAGACACTAGGTTCAGATCTTCGAGTACTCGCAGATACTGACAGCTACCTGTTTATTCCACATAGACAAGAGGTATAGGGGACGAGAGGATTGATATCTCAAGAAACATATTTAACCCCGCCGCATTTTTGCGCCTGTCCCAAGTCAAGATCCGCTCGCCTTGTTGGTCTTGTGTGTGTTTTTTTTTTCAGATATTGGTTCATTTGTATGTTTCGGAGTTTAGAATGGCGTCCATTTCTCTGACTCGGACTGATTTTACTTTTTTGTTTACGGGCAAGCTGAAGCCCGCCTCCGTGTGCTGGAGTTGTTTCCTGCGTTGAAGACCGATTGGTGAGCCGGTTTGGATGTTTTCTGCTCCTTGATCGGGTTATTGTCTCTTCGACACATTCCCCGTTTCCATTCTATATTCTAAATAGATTATATTCATTGTATGAGGGCGCCATGGTTTACAGAATAGAGAATAATGGACTACTAAAATAAAGAATAGTAGAAATGGACCAAATGATTAAAGAATAGAGAAGAACTCGGTACTAAATAAACTCAAGTATAAAGATTGTTTAAAATAAAGACATATCCAACTATCGCGGTCATCACGTGACTTTTACTATTTAGTTGTTTTATTAATGAAAATGAACGGGCTTCATAAATTAAACGATCACAACTTTTTTGTTACATTGTGTATTTTACCTTCCAACCCCGCGTTTTTAAGAATTTTCTTATTTACAATTAAATATGTTCTCAATTTCAGTTCAGAAATATGACTTCTTGCTTCAAATTAAGTTTGAAAATTGAGGTGCAATAACCACACAACCTCCGTTAACTTTTTCGTTAAAACTCGATAAAATTGCAATGGGACCTTCTTCAATATTCAATTTTCTCAACTTATTTATTGTAAGTAATATCCTTCCAACCCCTAATAAGGTCGACAATACATTTATTTCAAAGAAATTGAAAACCAATTAATCAGTTTAGGTAATAAACTTTCTGCTTTAAAATTCGATTGAAAAGTTCACACTTTGGCATTCGTTAGCAATATTTTGAAAATGGAGGCCGCTGTTGAAAGTAAACAACGACATGGCATGTACTCATTTGGTTATTAATTAAAAAGTTATATTTGAAATATTTTAAGTGTGTCTTCTTGATTTTAGAGAATTCTTATTTCACCTTCACTTTAGTATGTTTATTAGAAACAGTCTCTCGCACACAAAATAAAGATTTATATGCATCGATCGTGCAATGTTTACATGACTTACATTGACATCGCAGTGGCGGATCCAGAAATTTTCATAAAAGGAATGCACATCTATTAATTACAGATCAAGCAAAAAATTATGTGACATTAATAATTGTAAGCTCTATTTCTGGTGGCAACGACATATATAGACAACGACTCAACATGTTTCAATAGCAACATATCAAAGTTTAGTCGATTCTTAATGAAATTGTTTAGTGATATTATTTTGAATTAATAAAAGATAACCTCGAATGAATGTTAACTGAGGTGAAATGTCTATATTTTTCAATTTTCTAAATCATTCATCACACGGGTAACCAGTAATTTTTCCCAGAGACATATATACACAGAGATTGATGACTTAGCCTGGCAGCCTGACCCAATCTAATACTTCGTCGATAGGGCCTGGCTAATACAATCCACGTGACCAACTATCAGCCTTGAACAGGACTGAATTACTGCGCATGTGCATGTTCTATAAACAAGGAATATATCGATCGGATTGTTAAATAACAGTTGATTCACGATGTTAATCAATAACGTTTGAATTATATATGCTAAATTTTTCGAAATTTACATTTCATATGAGATGAAAAATATTTTCCAATGAATTCGTTACAATATAAATATTCCCGCCATATGTGTCAAGAAATGACGCTATCCAACGATACATCATTCTAACATCCAATTGACGAAACCATGTCGTTGTATTCCGCCTGGCTCCACTGTCGAGCAATGAACCAGGATCCCAGGCTAATTGGGCAACTCCGTGAAATCACGTTAAATAACGCAGCCCGGAATGAGAATATTTCCCGATAATTATTCTACAAATCGGGGACGAATAACCCCCGATAGCTAACCAAGAAAAACAACGAGAAAACTTATCTCAGATCAAATAATATCTTCTCTTAAAAGCTACTTAAAAATCGTTGTATTTATTTTTTTTGTATTTATTGAGAAAAATATTTTCGGCATTTGATTCTATCAATTTAAAATTAAAATCTGGTAAAGATCAGAATATTGATAATGCAAGAAACATTTCAGTACTTCATATCTTTGCTTAAGTTTGCTCCTCAATTACACAGTGAATTTATGTCTAATTCCGATTCTCCGGTAATTAACTTCCTTAGAGTTGTGATTGTGGATTCACAGGTGTGCGATTACGTAATATATAGCCCTCCGATCACCTGAAATTTGTCGGAGGTGAAGTCTAAAGGGATTATATAATTATCGCTTGGTAATTGATTTTACATTTAAACAAATGCCGACATATTATTTAACCCTGATCAGAACTTTTTAAACAAAAGCACTGGGCAATAGTATTCAATCCGGAAAACAAAAATAGTCAATTAACATGTTTAGAAAAGATATAAAACAACTTTTCATAAATAAAAAGAGGGGGGGGGGGGGGGGGGGGGGGGGGGGGGGGGATGTTCCAAATATATGTCCTCCATTCAAATGCATTGATCGTCAAAAAAGGAGAGGCTCCAACTCCCGAACCCCCCCCCCCCCCCCCCCCCCCCCCCCCCCCCCCACCACGTAAGATCCGCCACTGACGGCTCCAATCACAGTAATTGATCATTCGGTCTTCAAATCCCATGGAAATAAGGAAAACATTATGACGAAACTGCATTATTGTTGGGTCTCCTCATATTAAGAACAATGGAAAATGGGACTGAACACTTATTTCTGTTGCACCTAGCATGTACTTTACATTCTATCTAAATTATTCCATGTAATTAATGATATCTGTTTTTATTTAATCATAACTTGGCGTTCAACTTTTTGATCTGACCTAGAATTAAAGGATCATTTATGAACCTTTGCATCGATTTCCGAATGAACGTACATTATTAGTGTTGTTGAAATCCCTTGTTAATTGCTGCCATAAAATATTGAATATTAATCTGAATCTGTTTTTTTTTTCGCATTGTTTTTTTTAAGACTTAAAATCAGCGACTCTGATTTAAAATCAGTTTGTAATCATAAGTATAGTCAAATTCTCTGCTGAACTGTAGACTTAATTTTATGTCTCATAGACTACCGGAGTACTGCAACATTCTTATCTTTACTCTTTGCTGTCGGGAGTGAACCTCAAGCTTGAAATTAGACAGATTTGGAAATGTTCATAATTTCTATCTGATCTTTTATGGGTTCGTGTTGCTCAATGTTAACCGCAAAGTAATTTTCGGTGTATAGTGCTATGTGGGCTGTTATGTTCTTTTCTTTTGTTATTTTTTCCACTGTGTTACAACGACCTTGTCATTTTTGTATTGCCCCTTGGCATCTTCTGCCTCTGTTTGCTTATTTTAAGCTACTTTGGTCATTCTAAAGATATGTGTAAATATGTCTCTGATTTTACATAATCCACAGGCACTAGACGTTCTGTCAATTTTATTAAATATTAAAATAGTGTCCATATTAATTTACATGCATCAGAATGAGAGTGACAGTTCTCCGTATGAAGGAGAAGGATACATAATATGTTACAATTGAACAATAACACCGTTTCATTCCCCTTTCCTCTGTATCCCAACAAGAGAAAATTATGGCAGACAAAATTTCCACTTTATTTGAAGGTGCGCCATCTTATGATAATAACAGAGAACAACCAGGAATTGTCATACCCATGGAAACAGATATTGAAGACTGTGCATCAAAATGGAGACCATACATACTCTAAAAACGTTGGACACTGACAGCATTGTAACAAAATCATTTGATCCCATGGATTTGATTCCCTAAAATGCTTTTAAAGTAAACGACCCGAAAATCTTAAGTCGCGTTGAACGATGTAAAACGACAGTAGCCAAACATAGTATAATTGGATTTAATACCCCTTGTCATGTGTTAGATGCTGATGAACTTGAAAGTATTGAACCCTGTGTAGCTTTTGAAATGATGGAAGCTGATTTCAGAAATTGTCATTGTTATGATATCAGTAAGTGGAACATTCAGCCACCTCATTGTGAAGACAAATTAGATATACTGTTGTATAATAAGTAATTTTAGATTTGTTAATCATATAGCTAATACTCCTTATCATTTTGTACTCTAATCATGCTATAAATCCAGACAAGTCCTAAAATTACAAATCTTTTTCATGATGTCACCAACTAGTTGAAGCTACAAATGTGTCTTGGGCCATTTTTTTTATTTTAATAATGTATTATAGACATAGATATAGAAACTTTATTTTGATTCAGCATAGCATAAAACATACAACATAAGCTCCGGTGAGCTTTTTACTGAATATACATGTAAAAACGAATTAACACAATCATGACATGATTAAACAAAGCATCATGTACATGTACATGTATATACATATGTCAAAACATACAACTGAATAAAGCCAAGCAACAACCAACAATTCAGATTTCTAGCAATCTTATATAAGTTTATTTAAAAATTTAGCATTGTTTGACAAACAACCACCAGCAGCTCTGTACATGTATGTGTCTTCTAAGGCTAAAAAAAAAATATGTCAGTTTAAGGTTACATTGTATTTACATCTTAAAAAAAGTAGGGTAGTTAGGTCGGTATTTCCATTTTATTTTTTGCGACATGATTTTGAGTTGTTAGCATGGTTGCAGTCAGTCTTGCTGTGGTCCGAGTTGTCCCTGGGCCTAGTTCACCTGTATTTTTAATGATTGGATTATATCCATTGGTTATGGTTTTGAAAAAAATAGCGGCAAAGTTTTTATTTCATCTCATGTGTCACATGTTTCCTTAAAATACATGTAGCTGTCATATTCAGTTGTGAACATTTGGGATGTATCAGGCAGTTGATTAAATCTTTTGGCAACTCTAACATGTCTAATTTCCCTTTTGACCCTAGTTCAGTTAATTTTTTCACTTTACAGCGGAAATAAAATGGCTTAGGGTCAGCAATTAAATTAGGGAGGGTTGGGTAACCCTAAACAAACATTTATCTTTGGCCTAGCAGTAAAAATTGAAAAGTTTGAAAATAAGCGCTACATGCTAAATATCAAAGTAATTCATGCTACATGTATATAAGCTAAATATTTTAATCATACATGTAAATAAATATGGCAAGCAGTATAATAATAATCAAATTAAAAAGTTAGTTGCAGAGCTGATAGCATAGAACTTTTCATGAAGACATGTTTAAACCATATTATAACTACTTCCAACAAAGCACTTTTTTTACTTTAACATGTTAAATTTGTGTTTAAAAATTGTGGATCATAAACCATGTAAACTTTAATATGAAATTTCAAAATGTTCACTTTCTAAACTTTTTTCTCCCTCAATCATACACATCTAATTTTTACATTTGTATTTAAAAATCCATCTGAGATATTGCTGACCTTCGACTTATTTTGAGTAGTGATTGGTCAAGTCCCAAATTTCAGGTCATTATATATTGAAGAATCCTCAAGAATATGAATAAGATGAGATATATATATATACATGTACAATGTAGGGTACATCCCAATTAGACAGCACCCAAACACAAAAATAATCCTCATTATTGTCAAACCCTGCATTCAACATTATGGAGAATGATTTGAGAAGAGAGAGGCGAAAGATACCAATGGGACACTCAAACGTACCTCGTAAGTGAAGTCGAAAATAAACTGACAATGCCATGGCTTTAAAAGGAAAAGACAAACAGACAAACAACAGTACACAAAACACAACATAGAAAACTAAAGACTGAGCAACACGAACCCCACCAAAAACTCGGGGTGATCTCAGGTGCTCTGATAGGGTAAGCAGATCCTGCTCCACATGTGGCACCTGTCAATCTTCTTTAGATTTTTAGTAACTGGAGAAGGATTTTCTAATTTGCTCTTTTTCATATTTTTCAGATTTCAAGTTCATGGAGAATAATTTTATTAATTTTATTTTATCTTTTGAAAATTTGAAAGTTCTTCAAAAATGATTTACTTCTTTTATCCTCCTTAGATTTCAAGTTCATGGTGAATTATTTGCACAGCAACTGATCAACATAAGTATGATGAAGAAATCACAGGACATAACAGAAGGGATGTATCAAAGCTTGTTTCAAAAATTTGCAGCAATGTTTGGATTGACAAGTTTGTAAGTACCCAATCAAATACATGTGTATACATGTACAAGTATACAAGCATTATCCTTTGAAATAGATCAGCATCTGAATATCAAAGTACGGTTTATTTATACTGCATGTACTTATGACAGGCCAAAAAAGATTTTTTTTTTTCGTAGTTTGCTGTCTTATACACAAATCTCGAGCTGTTTTTTTTTATGAATGAAATACATTGGTTGACTGGAGGACAAATGATGTTATTGACCTTATATTATATTGAATAATCAGTTGATCCTACAACATAAGCAAAGTTGTGACATAGGAAATGTATGAGAAAGTGCACAAATTCTAAAGTCGGCTATTAAAGTATACCCCGTGCCTATGGTAATTTATTCACACTGAAGGGTATTTTATAAGTAGTTCAGACCTATATGTATTCCATTATGATATTTACCAATCTAACAGACCCTTTAGGAAAACCACATATAGAATTTTTAGGCTGTACCTAGAAAATATGATTATCATAAGTTTAAAGGATAATTACAGGTGTGAATGTTTGAAGGTAAAGTATGATAAGTGAATAGAATAAAAGATAGACTTAGTTATTGTCAATGAGATAGCACTTAATGGCACACAAAATCAAATTTTTCACAAACAGAAAAAGCATTCATGACATTCTTGCATACAATATTCTGGTTAAAGAGAGACAACTCTAAATCATTTGTAAGAAATAACATTAGATTTCTGACAAAATTGATTTGTTTCAGGAAATAAGTCCGGTTTTGTCCAACTTACCTGTAAAACTATATGGAAGATTCCTTTGTCATCTTGTGATTGTGTAGTACAATAATATTTTCTGTCGAGAATTATATTGAGCTTTAAATATGAGACAAAATTATAAACAGAGCAAACATTATATTACATTTTTAATTGTCTTACAAAATTTCTGAAAAGTATTCATGCCAGGGCTCGACATTACCTTTTGTCCAATTGTCCGGGACATGTGGACACAGACGTCGGGCAAGTAGATTCACCATACTACTTGTCTGATGGGACAAGTGAAAAATCGATGTCAGATGTCAAATATATCAAATTCAAGACTTATAAATTCCCAAAAAATTGGATGATTCTTTTATTGATTATACGAAATGAAATAAATATTCATTGATTGTACATGCTGGCAGCGGCTGACCAAGGGAATATAAGTAAGGGGGAAGGAAATCAATGTTAATATGCTGGGGATATTTCATTCGAACCTCTCAGGGAGATTGATTGATTGTTGGTTGCTTAACGTCCAGTGGCAAATCCTCTCAGGGAGAAGCTTTCATATCGAAAAGGATAAATCCCGAGAGATCCTGGTCACCGGAATCGATCTCTAACATGTTTTAATCAGTTGAAATTCACAAGGCGGCCAGGTGTATTTAAAAATAAATGTTTGTAACGCATTAAGGTATATATTCCAGTGATTCAGAAGGTCGGTAGGACATAGGCAAATGTCCGGTAATTTTGAGTCTGGTCCGATTATTTTCTGTTTCATCTCAGATCAAGTGTTTAGTCATTAATTTAGGGATTTCCCATATTTTCCCGCCAAAAAGTTCCCAACAAATATAAACATGTGGCCAAATTCGAATGGAACCCGAGTTCTGACTAGAGTTCCACATGAACGGTAAATAATTTTGAAGAGTAAGGTCTCTAGATTACTGGAAGTGCAAGGCCCCTACTCTGGATGTTATATATGACCATGTCAATCCTACCTACTCTAGAGTTCCATTCGAACTTGGCCACAAATTTTGCATGGGACCCTGATTTGTCGGTAGAAATGTTACCCGCCAAGTTAAATAAATAGGTCGCAGAACCAGTGTAGATATTATTCGACAAAGTTGTCAGATTTGATAGGTGTTTAGTACTGTACTATGCCGAAATTACAACAGTTTTGATGTTCAATGACAAATAAATTTACTAGCCCCTAGGGCTACCGCGCCACAGACTTTCACTAGCCAGACACAAACGTTACTAGTCTAGGGCTACCAGGCTAGCATTAGTGTCGAACCCTAAAGTATAGCATAACAAATTGCTCCCATCATTAGGTACAATCAAAGCTCAAGTGTTATTGGTGCATATCATCAATATGTAAGATTTTCAATTTTGAATTCAGACAAGTGAGTTATGAGTTCGGACAAGTTGATGGACAAGTTAGAAAAAATGATAATGTAAAGGCCTGCATGCATGCCTCTCCCAATTTGATCTTCATCATGCACCAACATCATCTGAAGAAAACCATAATTTCTGAACCCATTTAGTTAGTGAACAAATAAGGGATCATAGATTTATTCTAACGAGGAAGCTCCAAGCATGCTCGGAGGATGCTCCAAGCTTTTTAAGTAGGCTCTTCTCAGCAGTTTATGTGACAATAATTATCATGATCCATTAAAATGTCAATCAAATCTATAGCACTTCTGTAATAAGGAAAGTAGAGCATTATAGGGGAAGCTCTTTTAACACCTGTGTAAACATTTGGTATACACAAATACATTTTGCATGAAATTTTACAAAACTATAGATTAGAAATTCTTAAACAGTACTGTGTAATGCTTGGAAAGAAATGTCAAGTCTCCACAAAAAGTAAGTCATTAAAATATTTTTTTATTATATTTAATAATCATTCTTTTTTAATAGTGAGAAAAATTTCAAATTTTATAATTAGATTATATAATTTTAATATAGTTTATACTATAATGCTACATAAAAGTCATCAAGACACAAACAACAGTTAGGGCGATACTAAACAAGTTATTTTTTTTAGTTACTTTAATATATATTTTTTGTTTTTAAAATATTTTTAATAACTCAATAGTTATTTTAAATGTCAAAAGAAGTATGGACTTAATGTAGGTTTTTAGAATTTTTATATCATTTTATTAAATAAAATTAATTATATAAGTATTTATCAAATTTAAGATGAGTATAGAATTAAAAGGTTACTTCAAAAATAAGGACAAAAATATTACTTTTACAAATTATTTTATACATCTTTAAAAAACTAAGTACTTACAATTATTTAAGGAACATATGCAATTGTTTTAGATTACAAATTATAAATAACTTCAAATCTTAATTAAATCACAAGGTTCCATCTATTTATATCTTTCTACCTTTAAGATGTTATAGGAAAATGATATTTTAATAGCCCCAAGAGACTTATCTTTGACCCAGAAGCGTGGCCTCAGAAAGGCAATTAGTGTTTCAGGAGGATTAGTTTTATATTTCATGGGAAAAATAACCAGATTTCTGTGAAAATTTGTTAAAGCTAGTAAAACCTGTATGAATGGACACCTATAAAAATAACTTTAACATAAGTTACTTATACATGATATAGAAGTAATATTTGAAATAGCCTTCATTAATAAAATAACTTAAATAAAATTTTGAAAATTACTTGTTTAAGTAATGCCCCTTACTAATCAATGGTAATATGTTTTTTTATAAAATAGCAAACTTAGTTCTTTTATAGAAAATTATGGCTACTTTAGGAAAAGTTGTAATTCATTATTGGAAGGCTGGTTTGAGGGGGTAATACCACCATTGTTTCCCCCCTAGTACTTCTCTGTTTAATTGAATTTTTTTTTTTAAATTGTGCAGAATTTATCTTTGTTTTAAATAAAGAAATACTTGACACAAGTATAGCTTTATCCTGTCCAGTACTACAGTGAAAATACAACATAACTTTTCATTGCAGATAAGATAGTAAACGTCACCAGAAATTAACCAATTAAATTCCTCTCCCCCTGTTTTCCCTGTTTACAAGCTTTAGTAGCCATCTCCCCTTAAAATTTCCAAAATGTTTTATATAAACACCAAATAGATTTTTTTTTTATTGCTTTGAAATGCCCAAGATACATGTTTACAACCCAAAAAAACTTTTCTGCAATGAAATGCAGGTTCAATTTCCAACAAGTGTCAAATTAAATGGAATATAAAGAAAAAATATCAACCCTTTTTCGTATGAAACTGAATATACTATGTTTTGGTGGTATTACACCTTGAAAGAATTTTGACAATATAATGGAGTAAAATAAATGGATTTTAGTTCAGCAATCCTCTATTTCTTTTTCTTGAATGACTTTTTTTTAATATATATAAACAACTATCAAAAGAAGAGTAAAGCAATGTAGAGGAAGCTCAGTTAACACCTGTATGTAGAAAGTCTTTTTATGTAGGCCTTTATCAGTACATACTATCAGTATTAAACAGATCCTAAAAATATAAATATACTAGTATATACTGAAATTTTTTTCTATAAGATTCAAATATTTTTTTCTTTTTCTTTTTAGCTTCATGAGTATAAAACCAACATAAAACAATGTTAGTTAGAATTTTAGGCATAATTATGTTCATTAGTATAGGACATTGTGGCAGTTGTTTGGAGTTGAAACAAATATTTTTTGCTTGTTTTGTGTTGTTTAATGTTCAATTTATACAAGTAAAATATGATCACACAATTTTAAAGGTAAATATTGATAAAAGTCTCTCTGCATTCTGTCAATTGATAATGTTTAGAAATCTGTGTAGAGGCAAAACATTATTATCAAAGGTTTAGACAATGGTTTATATCACAGCATGATACATTATATAAACATTATAGTTTGAGGGAATAACCCATTTTACAGTTTCAGTAGGGATATTTTATTATTACCTTAGAGCATCCTCTTTTATGCTCCATGAAATATTTTGTTAATATTAAAATGGTGTATGCTGTTAGATAAAAAACATCTTCAACAATAATAAAAAAATAAGATAAAAACTGAAGATATTAGATTATTTGATAGATAAACGGTAGATACATTATAATTCAACCCCTAAACTAAAGTGGTAATTAGTCTTCGACTACCTATTGTCATATTCCTACAGTCATGACAGTAGTATGCTGAATCAAAAATGCTTTTAAGCAAACAAATTGAAATATTACTATACATCTTTAAATATTTGTAAGTGAGGGACCTAGCATATATAAGTCAAGTCTGCAAATTATTCAAGAATATTGCCTGTTCTCCTCAAACACTAAAACTTCTAAATTGCCATATTCCTAACTTGAAACAAATTATTACAAAAAATTTTAACTGTAGTTATAATATGTAGTATAAAATATTGGTATGTTTTAAACTGGTATTCAATTGACTTAAAGCATTAGGGTATAAATCAAAATTCTAAATTTTAAGCAGACAGCTGACTACTAGTAGATTGTATAAATGACTTCTCAATTTGTTGATGATTTGCCCTTGTGTTCACATTTATAAATAGAAAAAGGAGGTTTATATGAAATGGAAATCTTGCAATTATCACTCAGGGATATCAGAATAATTATAACTTTCTGCATTTTGATTAAGCTTAAAAGAGATATTTGAAAAAATAAGTTGACATTTTCTATACAAATCAATGTGTATTGAAGAACTAGAATTTAAATAAAAAAAAGAGATAAGAGCTTTGAGCTCAGAAAAATATGCTCCAATACTTTGTACATTTAATAGCATTGTATAAATGGTGGTAATGGTAATTGGTCTAGGCAGTTGAATTTTTTCAATGCACTTTTCTAATACTTTACTCATGCCAAGTATTTCTTTATTTAAAAGAAAGATAAATTCTGCACAATTTAAAAAAAAAGTCAATTAAACAGAGACGTACTAGGGGAAAACAAATGGTGGTATTACCCCCTCAAACCAGCCTTCGAGTAATGAATTACAACTTTTCCTAAAGTAGCCATCATTTTTGTCGAGCCTGCGACTTTTGTCGCAGAAAGCTCGACATAGGGATAGTGATCCGGCGGTGGCGTTAGCTAACTTTTTAAAAGCTTTATATTTTAGAAGGTAGAAGACCTGGATGCTTCATACTTTGTATATGGATGCCTCATGTTACGAAGTTTCCGTCAGTCACATGTCCAATGTCCTTGACCTCATTTTCATGGTTCAGTGACTACTTGAAAAAAAGTTAACATTTTTTGTAATGTTAAATTCTCTCTTATTATAAGTAGTAGGATAACTATATTTGGTATGTGCGTACCTTGCAAGGTCCTCATGCCCGTCAGACAGTTTTCACTCGACCTCGACCTCATTTCATGGATCAGTGAACAAGGTTAAGTTTTGGTGGTCAAGTCCATATCTCAGATACTATAAGCAATAGGTCTAGTATATTCGGTGTATGGAAGGACTGTAAGGTGTACATGTCCAACTGGCAGGTGTCATCTGACCTTGACCTCATTTTCATGGTTCAGTGGTTATAGTTAAGTTTTTGTGTTTTGGTCTGTTTTTCTTATACTGTATGCAATATGTCTACTATATTTGGTGTATGGAATGATTGTAAGGTGTACATGTCTAGCTGGCAGGTGTCATATGACCTTGACCTCGTTTTCATGGTTCAGTGGTCAAAGTTAAGTTTTTGAGTTTTGGTCTTTTTTTCTAATACTATATGCAATAGGTCAACTATATTTGGTGTATGGAAATATTTTATGATGTATATGTCAGTCGCGCAGGTTTTATATGACCTTGACCTCATTTTCACGGTTCATTGCTCAGTGTTAAGTTTTTGTGTTTTGGTCTGTTTTTCTTAAACTATAAGCAATAGGTCAACTATATTTGTTATATGGAAGAATTGTTAACTGTACATGTTTGCCTGGCATGGTTCATCTGACCTTGACCTCATTTCCATGGTTCATTGGTCAATGTTTAGTTTTCTTGGTTAATATTAAGTTTATGTGACAGTTGTAATAAAGCTTTATATTTAGGACTATCAACATAATATCAATGATTAGTAAAGAAGGCGAGACATTTCAGCGTGTGCACTCTTGTCTATTAAAGAACTAAGTTTGCTATTGCATATAAAGTTTAACAAATGATTATAAATCAATTACCATAGTTTGTGTCTTTGAGGACTTTTATGTTTCATTTTATATAGTATAAATTAAAGCTATAATTATATTTTAAATATAAAATTTGAGTATTTTTTTTTGTATTGAAAAAGAATGATTATTGAATAAGAAAATGTTTCAAAAACATTTTCTTTCTGAGGAAACTTGATATTTCTTTCCAAGCATTGTACAGTACTATTGAAGAATTTCTAATCTATTTTATAGTTTTGTAAAATTTCATGCAAGATTTATTTGAATAGACCAGATGTTTACACATGTGTTAATGGAGCTTCCTCTATAATGCTCTACTTTCCTTATTATAGAAGTGCTATAGATTTGATTGGCATTTTAATGGATCATGATAACTATTGTCACATAAACTGCTGAGAAGAGCCTACTTAAAAAGCTTGGTGCATCCTCCGAGCATGCTCCGAGCTTCCTCGTTAGAATAAATCTATGATCCCTAAATTGACTGCTAAAAGCAAGATAGTTACCAAAACATTTGTAAGGAAAAGTTGTTTATTTTTAGGAGTTCTTCAGTACTTGGAGCAGCACAGATTAATATTGGGAATACCACAGTAACCTCCCTTCCTGATGTAATTTTCCCTGATGTCTCTCATACAGATAAAGATGATGATAGGTTAAAGTTACTGGCTGTCTGTAAGGTATGTTTATATGTATACAGCCAAGATTTGTTCTTTTTAGGCAATGTTTGGAAACCTTTATGGAATAGATCAATTATTTTATAGTATTACAATTTATTGGAAAGATTGGAACTCGTTCCAATTCTTTCCTAAGACACCAGCCTCCAAACAGAAAGTGGACAGATTAGCTACCAAATCTATACTCACTGACATATAGTTCCCAATTGTTCTCATGTCTGTGTACATATATGCACAAGTGAGCTTGAAAGAAATTTGGTTACATCTTTTAGAGTATTTTTTCAAAAATAATAGTCATTACTTTTTATAATTACTGGCTTAGTTTTGTCTTTTTACTTTAGTGTCTTAACACAAAGGGTGGGACAATAATTTAAATTCTATATAGACTCCTCCTTCTTATTGCCAATCATAATTGACCAAATTACATAACTTGAGTTTATACATAACATGGCAGACCAATCAATACTCAAACTTTGACCTCATTGATATCTGATATAATTTGATCTATATAGGTCAGTATCTGTCCTCAGGTTTTATTGAAACTAACAAATACTAAGAAGGGTTTTGTTTTATAAAGTTATATACAGACGATAGATTTTTCCTTTACCAATATATATCTTTTGATTTACAAGCTGCATTAAACAAATGATCTATAAATCTTGTTTGAAAAATGATTAGGTAAGGATTTATACATCATGAAAATCGGTATGAGTAAAGAATCCAAGTGGTGTCTGTTTTTCTTGCAAAATCTGTGCAACAATTATTTGTTATTAATCCTTAATTTTAATAGGTTACATTTATCAGAGAAGGTATTAGTATATTTGAATATTGGGAGGTACTGTGGATTCATTAATATTCGTTGGATACCAATTTTCATGGGTACAGGGGAACCACAAATTTAAATGTTCAACGAATTACAAATTTCCTCAAGGAATGTATGCAGACTTTTCCAAAACCATGAAATTAAACTTTCCTCAAACCACGAAAATTGGTACCCACGAAAATAAATGAATCCACAGTAAGATATTTTTTCAATTAATGAAATAAATAAGAATTTGTCTCAAAAATTAAAAGTCTCCATCTTTGGACAATAGAATAAAAACATCACATTAAGTTTATTGATGTAAAAATTACCCTTTGCATCTGTAATTAATCCTCAGTTTTAATAGGTTACATTTATCAGAGAAGGTATTAGTATATTGAATATTGTGAGGTAATATATATTGTTTTTCAATTAATGAAATAAATAAGAATTTGTTTCAAAAATTAAAAGTCTCTATCTTTGGACAATAGAATAAAAACATCAAATTAAGTTTATTGATGTAAAAGTGACCCTTTGTCAACCATGCATCTTCAATGTCATATATTATTGTTTTAATTAAAATCAATAAGCTATACTTAGCAATGTTTGAACACAGAGTAACAGACATGCCCACAAAACAACCATTTGCAGGTTAATTTTGGGAGATGAAAAAAGGACTTTAAGTTTCAAGTCTCTTTAACCATTGATCCCAGGTTTACTTAAAAACTACAATGATAATTTTTTTGTTAACTACAATGTTAATCTTTTTGTAAGGTAATTTCTTCTGTTTCAAAAAATACAAATATTAAGTTTCAATCAAAAAGAAATTATTATGCAAATTTAGTGACCCACTGACATAACTCTATTAAACTAATTTATTCACTGAGAAATTGTTGATATTTCTAAAAATCTGCAGTAATATTACTAACAAATATGCAATATTGCTATAGCAAGTGTTTGTTGTCATCAACCACTGCTATGGAAGTGTAAAATATGATTGAAATTATAGACACAATTCTTCCAATCTTTCCATTAGTGGTTTTAAATCACTTTGATTATAATTTGCAATTGGCTTGGCCATGTGACTAGCATGATTTGATTCAGAGAAAACTCCATACTTGGTACTTTTGGGTAAACTCACTAATCAGTTTTTGAAAAAGTAATTATTGCGATTTTTTTATAAATGCAAAAAATGACAGTATCAGGTTTGCAAGAATAAAAACTCCCGTTCATGATTTCATGGTGATTTTGCTTCATATAATTTTTGCAATTGCATCCATTAGATTTCACATTTTTACCAGTCATCAGTGATTCTTGAACATAAGTGATCTGAAAAGATCTGAAAAGTACACCATATACTTGTCACTATACATCATGTACTGTGTTACAACTCTAGATAAATCTGAAGAGGAAATCCATTAATTGACTTGTAAAAGCTATATTTTATATAGCCTAGTTGGTTGCGTTGTCTTGGGCACCACTGGAAACAGTGCATTTAGTGATGCCATGATGTCACAGAATTAGAGGTTTTGAATCTAGCTGTGGTAAGGACACAATTTGCTTATGAAAAATATGCAGAACTAACATTGTTGGGCTATAAAATTTGAAACAAAGTGTATATAAAGTTATGGTGTTAGCTCTGTATAACCACTGGTTATCCAATGGAGAAGCTCTGTCGTTGATTTGTCACACGCTTAATAGACATTTATATACATGCAAACAAAAACAAAACCATGCAGATACACAGTGTTCTCCCCAGAAATCTTGGTTAGCCATCACATTTGGCGTAAAAAAAAATTGTATTTTTTTTCAATGTCATTTGTCGCGTCACGGCAATGCTCTATTTCCTTTAAGTAATGTTTATATTGTTCAACTTTTTACTGTGAATACAATTAAAGTTTAATAGTTGTTTCAGTTTATGTCTTCAATATTCATTTATAGTTACAGAATTATAATTTCCCTCTTGTCAGAAACTACCTACTAAATATCTAGTACAAAAAAGAACTTTTTTTATATCAAAAAGGAAAAGAAAATATCATATAGTAAAAACATTTCAATTAAAAAGTATTCCGTTTAATAAACATTATGTTATTGAAAGTTACTTATTATCACTTAAATTGTGACAAAAAAGTAAATTTAAGTGCACACCAAAGTGCTCCCAAGTAAGGAGTTTTATATATATATAACAGGTGTGACAGGAGATGAGCATATTATATTGATGCAATAATACATTGCATATATTGCAGAAGGTATAAACAGTTACTTTTTTCTCCATAATTGTTAAAAATAAAAGCATTTGTTAAGTGCTTCTATGTAAGGAGGATTATAAATAAAAGAAGTAAAACAGGAAGTGGTGCAATCTTGTTATGTTCAAATTACAAATTTCTTTGATTCTTCTTTAAATTTCATACTCATGGTTATGAAACAAAACTTTGTTTTTACCAATTTAGTCAAAACTATGTATGCCTTTAAATTTTTTTGGATTTTATTTTTATGATATGCCTACTGAAATAAAGTTTTTCAGGTGTGCATGCTGTACATAAACATTACAAATGGATAACATGTGGACATTTTCATTCTGTATTAAATGTCTAGTATTTGTTCAATTATCTTAAATCCACTAATTAGCAGTAAACAATCATTAACAGAGGTGATAAAACTGCCAAAGGCATTAGGTATTTAACTTAATCCCATTGTCAGTTAATTAGTGTTACACAATCAGCTAACAATTTTACCGGAAACGCCGATAGGCATGAAATTGGGAAATTTTATTTTTTGAAAAGGCAGAGGGGTGCATTCTTTTGCTTTGGAGGGCAGAAGGGCGGGGGTAAGGGCACCAAGGGCAGGCCGCCCTTCTATTTAGGGCAGGCGGGAACACTGATTACTGTTTATCATGTTTATGAAATTCATTGTTTCCTGGGACTCAATGGATTAGTCCCATTTGTTTCTTATCAAAAAGATATATGTTTTTAACAAAGTTAAGCTACTTTAATCAGTAAATTGAAACAATGCATTTACATAGAAATTAATACATTTAGCAAGGAGATCTAACAAATAGTCTGTAAATGCGTGCTGAATGTGTAGTTTTCCCTTTTGGGATCATTATTATTCTGGCAGCTGTGCCATTTGTGCGTCTGTAGTTATTATCGAATAAATGCGAATTTTGGTCATAGCTGGTCCGCTTCCGATGGATCCCGCATCCGATCCGTAGTTTGACAAATATTTCAATGGCGGTCGAAGAAAAATTAACGAAAATAAACAATGTTTGACAAGCGAATTGGAATGAATATCACGATTTTAATGTAATAAATAGATGAAACTTTAACTATTTATTTTCTAATGAAGTTTAAAACTTATGTTGCCGTAAATCAAAATGTTTAACGAGCGCTCTCGAGTAACAAGTACCGGAATGGAAAGAAAATACTTCAGTCTTTAATAGTTGTTAGTTTGAAATAACACACGACCAATCTGTAAAGTCAGTGCTTTCACCTTTTTTCTAAAGAAATAAATCGTTTATATCTTTGAATACCGGTATATCTTTACTTATAAATGAAAAATTGCTGTTTAATCGACATGGAAAAAAATTTCGTAATTGTACAACTTTGCTTGGTAAGCCATTTTGTCAACATCGAGGTTCCCCGTGTAGTTTTTTTCTTCTCTTAGAAGACGTTTTTGCCATGATGATGCAAACGTAGATTTCGAATTGTTTATGTTTATGATTTTCTGATTTCATTTTCTCGATGTCCAAATTTGCAATTGGGCCACGTGTTATTAGTCATGTCATAAGTGTCAGCTTGGGGTATTTGTATCCAAACAGGTATCAGCCAAAGGGCAATAAACACCTATTTAATCACTCTTAATTGCCTCTTTTGTCCGACTTGAAGGGATTACAATTAAAGGTGATATAATTTTTATGATCACAAGCGGTAATAAGATAAAAGTTCACAAATTAGGACATCGATTTTGCGTCAATGTAGAGACAAGAAAAATAGCATCCTCAAAATATTTATAGCGTTGGGGAAATTATTATAGGTTCAACTTCACAGAAAAAATTATAGCGTTGCGGTAACACGACGCTAAAACGGCCTGGGGAGGTCACTGGATACAAATAGAGTAATATCCAATGAGAGGCAATCTCAAAGATACCTGTTCATAGCTTGGTCTGATCAGATTTAACTGTATTTACAGGTTAAGGTCAAATTTCTCTGTATTTACAGGTTAAGGTCAGGTTTCATTGTTATTACAGGTTAAGGTCAAATTTCTCTGTATTTACAGGTTCAGGTCAGGTTTCATTGTATTTACAGGTTAGGTCAGTTTTCTCTGTATTTACAGGTTAAGGTCAGTTTTCTCTGTATTTACAGGTTAGGTCAGATTTCACCATATTTACAGGTTAAGGTCAGTTTTCTCTGTACTTACAGGTAAAGGTCAGATTTCACTGTATTTACAGGTTAAGGTCAGTTTTCTCTGTACTTACAGGTAAAGGTCAGATTTCACTGCATTTACAGTTTAAAGTCAAGTTTCACTGTATTTATAGGTTAAGGTCAAATTTCTCTGTATTTACAGGTTAAGGTCAGGTTTCATTGTATTTACAGGTTAAGGTCAGGTTTCACTGTATTTACAGGTTAAGGTCAGATTTCACTGCATTTACAGTTTAAGGTCAAGTTTCACTGTATTTATAGGTTAAGGTCAGTTTTCTCTGTACTTACAGGTAAAGGTCAGATTTCACTGTACTTGTATATACAGGTTAAGGTAAACTTTCACTGTATTTACAGGTTACAAAAGATTTTACAAGAAGAGAAGAATTATTTCCTGTAGAACAGGGTAATAACAGAAAGAGAATAAGAAGAAAAGAAGAAGAGAAAGTTATACAGCATCTAGATGAAGCGTTACAAGAACAGCACGGCGGGGAACTCTTGGTTCAGCTCCCACTGTCTGAGCATAATGGTCTTCTAGGAATTATTGTTCAGAAGACACATGTAAGCATTGTAATTGTTATACACTGTATTAGGCAGAACTAGGACCTTTGATTATTTTATCAATGTTTATTCACTTAGTATTATTTAGCTTATGGATACATATCATAGTTTTTGGACCCAAAAATACAGAGCTCATGCAAGTACCATCAAAATAATTTGCAATGGCATTTTTGTATATGAACATCACATGTAAAAATGTGTGTGATACTTACATAAGGTCAATATTTTCTACTGATGATATGTAATGTTTGTTTAGAAATAAACACATTTTGTCAATTCAGTAGAAGTTCAGAATTATGCAATCGTTCAACTTAAATATTCATGATTTTTATATATATACAGTTTAAGCTTTGCATAGATATAACATTTTTTTTGCCACCTCCGTAGCTAGAAGGGGCATTAGTGTTAACCTTGACCTTCCTTCCATCCTTCCATCTGTCTGTCCTTTCATTCATCCCATTATCAATTTTGCACTTGAAGTTAAATTTTCTTCATCCAAATTGTATGAAACTCATACATAATGCTGATAACCCAAACTCGCAGACAGACTATGAATTTGGGCAGTGAGTCACTTACTATTTCTAGAGTTAAGCCCTGTTTTAGTTTCAACACTCCAACTTAAGTTTTTTCTCATCTAGAAGTATGCCCCCTTATAACTTAGAAAATTTCAAGTTTATTTGATTACGCACTCTTTCTTAAGTTTGACTCATTCAAATTTTATGAAACTTATACTCAATGCTAAAAAACCACAACACATAGACAGAGTTTGAATTTGGTCAGTGAGTTATTTTCCATTCTAGAGTTATGCCACTTTTTAACTTGGAAAATTGCAAATTATCAGTTTCTGCACTCTAACTTAAGTTTTTTTCTTGTCCAAATTTTATGAAAATCATAAACAATGTTAAGAACCACAACATGCAGACAGACTTCAAATTTTGACAGTGATTTATTAACTGTTCTAGAGTTCTGCTCCTTTCTAACTTGGAAAAATGCAAGCTTTAGCTGGTGCATTTGTGTCCTTAGACACATTTTTCATTTATTGGAGCTTAAATCACCTCAGCTTGATTTCTAATACTTCATTTTTATAGGCCGAAAAGGGCCCATGCACTTTCTTCATTCGTTGATATTTGAAGATTTCGCTTTCTGTAGCATCTGTCATCTGGTGAAAAAGATATTCTCCTCTGCAACTACCAGACTAATTTCAACCAAACTTGGGCTGAATGATCTATAGAGTATCAAGTATAAAATTTGTGTTTTTCATTCTTGTCCATCAAAGAAAATTGGCGCCATGGCTAAAAATAGAACATTAGGTAAACATGCAGCTTTAGACTTATATCTCAATCTACAATTAATTCAACTTGGCTGTAATATTCAAAAGTCCCCTTATAGAAATTTTTGCCTTTGAATGATTATGTTAACCCTTTTTGTCTATTTTATTTAGTTAACTAAAGTTGATAGAGAGAATCTTTTGATAGTAAAAATGTTCGACAAAACATGATCTACAAATAAGTTAACATGGATGAATAGTCAATTGCTCTCGAGAAACTAGTTTTACTTATTTTTTGCTTATTTTGCAGAATTGTTAACTGATAAAGAGAAATTGTAAGAAGCAAAAGTGTTCAGCAAAATAAGATCTTCAAATAAGTCAACTAAAATTGTCAATTGACCGCTTAAAGTAGTTCCTTACCTTTACATCAATTCTCTCAGTGTCAGAAGTCACATATAGAGGAATTATTGTCCTTGAAAGATAGTTTTTATCTTTTTTCAGTTTTTGCATTATATATAATTATCAAAGATGTTAGTCACCATCAGATCAAGTCAACATGGCCAAACTATCACACTAGAAGGATTTATTGCGACATAATCCTATTGATTTTTAATCACTAGTAAACCAAACTATGACAAGGTAATTAACAACTTGCAGTTATTTTCCATGAACATATAATAGAGAAACAAAGGATATGGGGTATCCATCCATGACACAAAATCAGTAAATGCACACTAAAAAACATACAAAAAGCAAAGGAACAGTGCTTTTATAATGACTATTTAAATTTCAAAAACTTTATAATTGATAGGTTAATATTGCAAACAGGTTACTGTGATCATTAGTAGAAGACCTGCAAAAATTCCATAAAATTAGATTTACCAAAAAAACAAACAAAACTGATTGTAATAAAGAAAAAAAAATCAAAATGGCATGTTTTGCCTTAGGTGAGTGATTCAGGCTTTTGAAAGCCTTTTGTTTTTTTAGAAATCTTTTCAAAAGCATTGAGCTAAAACCAATTAACAAATAATTCATATACAGCTCTAACTGTAATATGGTAGTATTTACTGCAGCTGTGCTATTTGCACAGTCAATTGCATTGACTTTATATTCATATGTGATATACGGTAGCTGACCAAATATCGCCTTGTTTATGAGGTTGAAAATGCATTTCCATAGAGTTTTATTTATGATATCAATGAAACATACAGGTTCGTGGAAATTTTAGTTTGTCTGCTCCAATTAAAAAATTATGGTTTTTACCCATAATATTTTATTTTGAACAGTTATAAGAGTTGCAGTATATAAAGTATAAGCATACGTTGTCTCTAAATATAAATTTTATTTGTACTCGGCTCAATCAGGTAAAAAATGCTCGGCACAGCCTCACTGTCTACCTGTTTCTAAGCCTTGTACAAATAAAATTTATATTTCAAGACAATGTATGGTTATTCTATATTAATGATTTGTGGGGGGGTGGTTTTCTCCCATGAAGTATATTAACTGAAATGAGTCTGCTAATTAGCCAAAAGTGACATTAATTATATGTCTCATTTTATAAGAAGGAACATCACAAGTGCTAAGTATAATAAATTATTATTATTTTTCAGATAACATTTTCTTATTTCCAATGCAACAAGATACAATTTGAGGTAGTGAAGTCAAGAGACCATTACATAAATAAACCAGTTATTTATTACAGTAGACCATACAATTACTTGAAGGCAGCAGATAGAGAGGAACTAATAAGACCTTTGTTAACATTGGGGTTCATCCAGTATTCTCCTTGTTGTATCAGTAGGAAGGACCCATATATTAAAACTGTTGAAAAATAGCAGGAAGTTGATCTCAGTTTCATTTTCCATCAGACAGTAACAAACTGTCAATATCAGGTTAAACAAAGAACAGTTGGCAATATCTGGTTAAACAAAGAACAGTTAGCAATATCTGGTTAAACAAAGAACAGTTGTCAATATGTAGTTAAACAAAGAACAGTTGGCAATATCTGGCTAAACAAAGAACAGTCGGCAATATCTAGTTAAACAAAGGACAGTTGGCAATATCTGTTTAAACAAAGAACAGTTGGCAATATCTGGTTAAACAAGGAACATTTGGCAATATCTTGTTAAACAAAGAACAGTTGGCAATATCTGGTTAAACAAAGAACGGTTGGCAATATCTGGTTAAACAAAGGACAGTTGGCAATATCTGGTTAAACAAAGAACAGTTGGCAATATCTGGTTAAACAAAGAACATTTGGCAATATCTGGTTAAACAAAGGCCAGTTGGCAATATCTAATTAAACAAAGAACGGTTGGCAATATCTGGTTAAACAAAGGACAGTTTGCAATATCTGGTTAAACAAAGAACGGTTGGCAATATCTGGTTAAACAAAACTCAAGATTAGTAAAGGGTGTGACTCCCATTTACCGACAGGCCCTGTATGAATTTGAATATTTTCAAAGGACAGATGATAAAGAAATTAAAGAGCTATACAATCCAGAAATAACTTCCCTTAACAATTTCGTGTAAAATTAATAAGACCATTGAAATTAGTGCTGTCCATCTAAAACTGATATGCTTAAGAAACTCAAGTTGTCGGTCAAATGGTTTACTTTAACAAATTGTGACTTGGATGGAGAGTTTTCTCATTTGCACATCTTCTTATGTCTAATATCTGTTAAATGAAAACTTTTTGAGCATTTGTTTCAACTGCAATAATAGGAAAAATAACTTGCACCATAGCACTTGTAGATATCTGAACCATGAATGTCATGGTGTAAGTTTCAGAGAAACAACAACTTTGAAATCAATTTAAAAAAGCCTACTTGTAGTTCGATTGGTTGTTTGTTAATGTCAATTAAAGATGTTAAAATTGACTATACTATTTATGATATTGTGTTTATGTGAAAATAAGGAGATTTCAGATGACAAAGATATAAGCAATAATATTATAAGTCAGTGCAAGGGCTTCAACAATGAGAAAACTCTATACTGTAGAGTAAGCTATGAAAGATCCCAAACATGAAAATCTTATATAATTCAAAAAGGAAAAAAAAATTATAGCAATACAATTTACAAAAAAAAATAATATGACAGAAGTGAGCCAACAATAAACTCTGAATTACAAGGCTTCTGACTTGGGACTGGCACATAAAGCATGTGGCTCAGCCAGAATCAGACCACTCAATTCTTCCCTTACCTTGGACAGTGTTGTAACATGAACAGTACGAATTTTACGCACCAAATGAACATGAGAACAATCTGTAACTCACATGGAAATGTTTTTACTCAATAGATTGGTAGGAAAAACAAACAGTAACTTACATGTTAAAACAGGCATAACATACCAATCTAAGAGTAACCACAGTTATTAAGCTATCTAAAAGCCAATACTAACAAAGAAATTATGTTTTTCCCAGACTTTATATGAAAATTTGGAGATATTGTATGATGTCAATTAGACATAAAATAATAAGATAAAAACAATTAAATTTATATGATAAAATTGATGTGGAAAAGGAAGCTGATGGAAGTCAATGACATATATATACTCTTAATCAATAATCAATTTATAGTAATTAGAAATTTTTTATTTCAAAAAAAATAAAAACTGCCTGAACATTGTGACAGTCTTAACTCCTGGTATTCTTTTCTTGTGATTTTGTTAATTTGAGCTGCTCTCAATTTTACCCCTGATTTTGATTGATTTCAATGTTGTTGCCTTTGATTTTAAGTACCAGTTGAAGAGCTATATGACCAAAAAGGACTTAGAAAATGGCCCATTCATCTAAGATCAACTTTGCCTGAGGTTGTTGAAATGTTAGTTTATAAACGGACAATTTTTTTTGTCGAGAAAGGTGACATGGATAGTGGCCTGGCAGTGGCGGCAACAGCGGCGTGAACAAACTTCTTTAAAGCTTAATATTTCGGAAGGTACATGTAGAAGACCTGGGTGGAATCATTCTTCATACTTTGTATATAGATGCCTTATGTTATGTAGTTTCCGTCTGTTATATGTCAATTGTCCTTGACCTCATTTTCATGGTTCAGAAATTACTTAAAAAAAGTTTTGGTTTTAAGTATTCTCAATTTTTCTCAGTATAATGAGTAATAAGATAACTATATTTGGTATGTGTGTACCTTGCAAGGTCCTTGTGTCTGTCAGACAGTTTTCACTTCACCTCAACCTGATTTCATGGATCAGTGAACAAGGTAAAGTTGTGGTCAAGTCAATATCTCGGATACTATAAGCAATAGGTCTACTATATTTGGTGTATGGAATGATTGTAAGGTGTACATGTCCAACTTGCATGTGTCATCTGACATTGACCTCATTTTGATGGTTCAGTGGTACAAGTTAAGTTTTTGTGTTTTATTGTGTATATCTATTACTGCATGCAATAGTTGAACTATATTTGGTGTATAAAAATATCTTACGATGTTCATGTCAGTGTGGCAGGTTTTATTTGACCTTTACCTTATTTATACGGTTCATTGCTCAAAGTTAAGTTTTGTGTTTGGTCTGTTTTTCTTAAACTATGAGCAATAGGTCATTTTCTTGGTTGAGTTTTTTTCCCTGAATGTGATATAAGTCAACTACATGTAAAGCATAGAATTAGTGTAAGGTGTACATATCTGGCTGGCAGAGTTCATCTGACCGTGACCCTATTTTCATGGCTCTTTGCTCAATATAAAGTTTGGTCTGTTTCATATCTACTAAAGCATTCGGTTAACTACATTTGGTGTTTTGAATAATTTAAAAGTTGACATGCATTTCTGGCTGGGCCTCATTTTCTTTAATCATGTGAAGATTATATGATACTTGTAGTAACTTTATATTTAGTAATGTCAACATAATTCAATGGTCAGTGAAGCAGGCGATACATTTCAGCGTGTACATTCTTGTTTTTTTTTTTAAATATATATAACGTTAGTTCCAAAATACCGACTTTTGAGCTGATGATAACCCTCGACTGATAATGCACCAACAGAGGTATCGACTCAGTGCTTAAAAATGATCTCACCAATAAACGCAGGTTAGGATTTTTATGTTAGTAATTATGTCATCTTCTTCATCCCAAATTCGAAGTGTTTATGCAAAATGTAAAAAAAGACCAGATTGTTCATTCTTATATTCATTGGCAGATCCAGGATTTTGAGCTAGGGAAATTATACTTTTACTGGCCACAAATGCGACGAATTTCGCAGTACGCGAGACATGGATATTACTATCCGGCGGTGCGGGGTAAACTTCGTATCAAACTTTATATTTCAGAAGATGAAGACAATTAAGCTGCATACAATGTATGCAGATACCTTACGTTACGATTTTTCCTTCTGTCATATTTCCATTGTCCTTGATCTCATTTTCATGGTTCAGCGACTTCTTAAAAAAAATTATAGTTTGTCTCTTGTCATGTAAATTTCTCACTTATGTGTTATAGGATAACTATATTTGGTATACTGGTATGGGTTCCTTGTAACATCTACATGTCTGTCAGTCATAGTTCACTATACCCCGATCTCATTTCATGGATCAGTGATCAAGGTTAAAGTTGCATGATTAGGCCCGTTTCTCAGAAAATATAAACAGTAGGTCAACTATATGTGGTTTATAGAATGATTGTAAAGAGTACATGTCATTCTGTCAGATTTCATCTGACCTTGACATCAGTTTTATGGTTCTTTGATTAATGTTGACGTTTTTGTGTTTATGTTTGTTTTCTTAAATACTGATAGCAACAGGTCAGCTATATTTGGTCTATGGAATAATTGTAAGATGTATATGTCTGTCTGGCAGGTATAATCTGACCTTGACCTTATTTTCATGGTCCATCGGTCAATGTTAAGATTTTTTGTGTTTTGGTCTGTTTTTCAATACTATAAGCAGGAGGTCGATTATATTTGGTATATGGAATGCTTTTTGTCAAGCCTTCGACTTTTGTCGAAAAAGCGAGACATAGCGAATCTACATTCCGTCGTTGACGTCGTCGTCGTCGTTGTCGTCGTCGGCGGCGTCCACAAATATTCACTCTGTGGTTAAAGTTTTTCAAATTTTAATAACTTTCTTAAACTATCCTGGATTTCTAACAAAATTGGACAGAAGCTTGTTTATGATCATTAGATAGTATCCAGAAGTAAATTTTGTAAAAGATAAATCCATTTTTTTCGTATTTTACTTATAAATAGACTTAGTTTTTCTGCCAGTTAACATTACATTCATTCTGTGGTTAAAGGTTTTTAAATTTTAATAACTTTCTTAAACTATCTTGGATTTGTACCAAACTTGGACAGAAGCTTGTTTATGATTAAACGCTAGTATCTAGAAGTAAATTTTGTTAAAATTTTGTTCCATTTTTTCTGTATATTACTTATAAATGGACTTAGTTTTTCTTCCAGTTGACATTACATATGGTCTGCAGTTTAAGCTTTTAAAACATTTATTAGATTCATAAACTATCCTGGATTTTTACCAAACTTGGACAGAAGCTACTTACAATCAAAAGAAAGTATAGAGAGGAATGTTTATGTTAATTTTTTTCCTCATTTTTGTTGAGCCTGCGATTAACAGCAAAAGTAGGCAAGACATTGGGTTCCGCGGAACCCGTACGAATGTTTTAGTATATGTCTCTGTCCTGCAGGTATACATTGACCTTTACCTCATTTTCATGTTTCATTGTTCGAATTTAAGTTTTTGCGTTTTTGTCTGTTTTTAAATAACAATAATTAATAGGTCAACTATGTTTGGCGTATAGAATAATTGTTACGTGTACATGTCTGTTTTACAGATTATCTGACCTTGACCTCAAAGTTAGGTATCTTTAAATATGTTAAGTTATTGCAGGAACATACATATTGTTAGATATACTGTTCCCAGGTTAATGTGATACTTGCAGTAAAACCTTTATCTTTAAAACTTTCAACATAAAATCAATGGTCAGTAAAGCGGGCGAGACATTTTAGTATGTAAACTGTTGATTGATTGTTGGCATTTTAATTTTAAAGACATACTTTATGATGCCTGAATACACTACAGAATGTCGATTCATTCCGATTATTTACTAACTTTATCAATATACACCAAGTTAACAGCGTTAATAAAAATGGTTGTAGTTTTTATTAGCAGAGATTCATAATTTTGTCATACTTTAGGTCCTTTTTGGTTTGATCAGCACTTCAGCGAATACTAAATAATAGGTAAAGGATTGTCAAATATTTTGACCTCAAGCATCACTTAAGATACATTAAATTTTAAAATGCACATCCGGTGCAGTACAATTGACAGCGTTATTGTTCTTAAGAACTAAAAGCGCATGTGTAATTTAGCTGCAGGAGTTTTTATTCCATGAGGGTATCACCACCCCAGTAGTCAGCACGTCTGTGTTGACAAGAATTATCATTGATATGGTCATAATTATAAATTACCTGTTTACAAAACTTTGAATTTTTGAAATACTAAGGCTTTTCTATCTCAGGAATTGATTACCTTAGCTGTATTTGGCAGAACTTTTTTGGTCCTCAATGCTCTTCAACTTTGTACTTTATTTGGCCTTTTTAACTTTTTCTTATTAGAGCGTCACTGAAGAGTCTTTAGTAGACGAAACGCGCGTCTAGCGAAAATTCAAAATTTCAATCCTGGTATCTATGATGAGTTTATTTACTGGCTTCTACGCCTAAAATAAAAAATAAATCACAACATTGGTTGAATTTTTTTAGGACGTTGTTAGCCAATCACAACATTTTTGTGTACGCTTTGGGAAATAAACTGTTTTCTAGAATGCATTAGATTCTCAAAAGGTTAATAAAATATCTAATTTCATTGTATTTTTGTACCAAACGTTTGCATATTTTTCTACTAATTGGCCTTTTAAACTAA